CTCCTCCTCCTCCTCCTCCTCCTCCTTCTTCTTGTTTTTAACTTGTGGTTAGGCCATACTTTCTTGGTTTTTGCTTTTTTTTACAAAAAATTTTGCTGAGCACTGGATATTTTATATAATATCATGTAGCAATCAGGAAATCAGATCACCCTACAACCCGTACCGGTTTATCATTGTTTTTACTGGTGGTAGTCGTCTTTGCTTTTGGTATTTGTTTGCTTGGCCAAATTCTGCCAAGCCTATATTGTTTGTTGTGTAGCCACTGAAGTCATTGCTGAGTTCGCAAATAATTAGGTAGATATTTCTTTAAATATCTTGAACCAATAAATCTCCCAGCCAAGCTTGGCCAAGGGGCTCTGGATACGTGCTACAACCTGTGCTCTAGTAGCTTGCAAATGTGGCTTAGACTTCACTTTATACTTGCACAGAACCTTTGAGTAAGGCAGAGCTGAGAGATTAGGGTCTTTTCTAGTCTTTCCTGATCGTGTAACCAACCATGCAATATGCACATGGCCTTCTAGATTCCCCAAAATATGTGAATGCTTTTCAAAGTGCCCTGTGGACATCTCACTCCCACGTTTTTCCTTTTAAGTCTTTTAATCAGTCTCCTCTGCGCCCAACTTGTACCCCTACCTCAGGCAGTTGCGATGTTAAACAATTTCCACAGATTGTTTTTGACAAACACCCTGGGGATGGAATGTTCCCCTACAGAGCAGGCTCTGAGTCAGGTCAAACAGAGACAAACCCTGAGAAAGGAGCTTTCCCAGGGGGCAGCCAGTCAGGCCAAACACTCTCAGTTCTCTGGGGACAGAGCTTTTGGAGCAGCTCCAGACTCCTTCTTCCCTCTCTGGTAGCTTCTAGGCTGCTGGTTCTCCCTGTTACCATGGTTACAAGACTGTTAGTTTTCAAGGCTACTGTGGGGAGCTAGGGAGAAGGGGATGGGGCAAATTAAAATGTTACAAAGCTCACTGTTCTTTCCAAGATGCAGCTGTTTTTCTTGAATAGATGTGCCTTGGATTTTTGTAAACCTTTGGTTAATTTGCAGAGTTTTGAGAAAGTTAATTTCTGACAACTTTTGAAGGATTCTTACTGCTTTTATGGAGGAGTGGATTTCGAGAGGTGCTTACCCTGTCATTCCAGATGTGCTTCTGCTGTTTATTTTTAATTTAATTTTCTGCTTTGCCGATTTATAAGTTTTCTATTTATCTTTTTTGATAGATTCTGGATACAAGTCTTTAGACAAATACACGCTTTGTGAACATCTTCTACCAGGTTGTTTCTTGCCTTTTCACTCTGTGGATCCAATCTTGCACTGCAGTACTCAACCAAATAATTTTGTCATGTAAAGGAGGATTTAACAGTTGGTTTCACCTACCAGGTAGGCAAGAATATCTACTGACTAAAATAGAAATGGTTGAGTGGTGGAAATTCGTGGTCATTTTGGGTTATGAGGTATGACTAAAATTCTTCACATTTGATTTTATATTTTTTAATACTAAAATAATATGTAAATATATAATCATTGTAAAAATGAAATAAAATAGAGGTAATTAGAGACAACAGTAAATGTCCCCTCTTCCCTCTCTTCTACTCATGATAGTCTCTGATGTTTATGCTTGGTGGAAAAGAAAGTCTCCTTTTCAATTCTTTTCTATGAATTTACACTTGTATACATACACCTAGGTACACATATATGTTTAGGTAGGGAAAGATTTACAAGTAGGATTATTCTAGCTAAAGATTTTGTAACTTGGTGATTTTCTATTGCTGTTATTTTTTAAGACTACATTGTATTCCATTTTAAAGCTATATTGTAGAAATGCTAAGTTTTACAAAAAAAAAAATTGGACTACTTCCAACCTTTCACATCAAGAAACAATGCTGGCCAGTCTTCATAAGTGTTTCTAGATTTATGTATGAATATTTGTGAAGACTTGGATCCTGGAAATAGAATTCATGAACAAAATGCTGGAACATTTCTGTTACTTCTACCAAAAGGCACATTGCCTCTTAGCTTTACTTTCACCTACAGTTTATCAATACATGTTTTCCTACCTCTTCAACAAAAGTTAGGTCTAGTCAGGTATGGTGGTACACACCTGTATTCCCAGTGACTTGGGAGGCTGAGGCAGGAGGATCATAAGTTCAAAGTCAGCCTCAACCAATTAGCAAGGCCCTAAGCAACTTACAATACCCTGTCTCAAATTTAAAAAAAAAAAAAAATCGTAAAAAGATCTGGAGATGTGGCTCTGTGGTTTAGCAGCCCTATCTTCAATCCCTGGTACTAGAAAAAAAAAGTTAAGATTAGCATTCTTTCTAAATTTGATGTTTGGATGCTTAAAATATATTTTAGGACTTTAGTATTTTCCTGATTACTTCTGAGATTGAGACTGTTTTTCATCTATTCGTGTTTTAAAATCTCTTCTTCCGTGAATTGTTTATAATATCCTTCAGCTACTTTAAGTTTTGTCTTATTGATTTATATTTTTTCTTTACATGTCTACCCATTAAGTATTTTACTGAATTTTTATGCTCATATTTGAATTCTGTGCATGCTGTCTTTTTATATTAATTTTTAAAAACAGAGATTGTCTATCTAATTTTGTATCTCTATAATTTCTGTCTTGCTTAAGAAAGCATACCTCAATTTGATATTATAAAATACTTCCTTAGATTTCCTTTTAATAATTTTATAATTTTGCTTTGTAACGTCTTTTCATTTTTATAGAGGGACACATTGCTTTCTAAAATGGTTTTATTTTGTCTTAAATCTATCTACCTCTTGTAAATGTATCAGTTTTAGGACAACTTAGTGTATGTGTTTTCAAATGCATGGGAAATTGTCCTCAACATATTTATCAAGTTTCCACCCTTCATCTCAGATTTGAAAGGCTGCCTGTAACAAAGCTAAACCCCACGTTTACAGGAGTCTGCCTTAGGACTCCTCAGTTCCACTGATTGCTGAGGCTATTTCCGTGCAATGTCTCCACTGTTCTATTTACTACAGCTTTACAGCAGGCTATTCTGCCTGACAGGGAAGCCCCACCCCTTGCTCTTTTCTTTTCCTTTTTTTAGGTTTATCTTTCTTTTTTATTATTATTTTATTTTTCTTCTTTTTTTTTTAAAAAAATTATTTATTTTTTTTAGACATATATGACAGTAGAATGCATTTTGATATATAATACATACATGGAATGTACATACATCAATCATATTGTCTATTCTATTCTGCTCCCCTTCCTATCCTCCCTACTCCTCCCCTCCTCTCCCATCCTTTCTCACCCCTTGCTCTTTTTTTTTCATAAATGTTTTTGCTACTCTTATACATTTTTTATTTTTCATGTGGTTTTTAAAATAAACTTAGGGCTCTAATAAAAATTCTGATGAAGATTTATATAGTAAATTTTGACTAAAGCAATATTTAATTTATAAATGAAATTGAAGTTATTTATTATCTTCATTATATTGCTTATTTCTTTCCAGAATATATACATACACACATGCATATGCATAGATATATACATAGAGGGTTGTCCCTCAATATCCACAAATGATTGCTTTTAGAATCAGAATCTGCAGAATTTCAAGTCCCTTATGTAAAATGGAATAGCATTTGCATATAACCTATACATATCCCCACCATATACCTTAAATCATCTCTAGATTACTTATAATGCCTAATATAATGTAAACACTATTTAAATAGTTGTTATATTATATTGTTTAGGGAATAACATAAAGGAAAATAACTCCATATGTGTTCAGTATAAATGCAGTATTTTCTGACTACTTTCAATCTATGGTTGGCTGAATCTGTGATATAGAACCTGAAGGTATAGAGGGTCACCTGTGTTACACACACACACACACACACACACACCTTGACTAATTTTTTGTATTTTTAGTTTTATTGATATAATTCTATCATCTCTTATTATATATTTAAGAAATGATTTGCTAATTGTAAATGCCATCATTTTATCTGTTATACTTTTCTAACTGGCAATTGTGCATACCATCTATTTTTCATGTTCGTATTTCCCACCACAGTTTTAATTATTTTATAAAAGACCTCATAGTTTTTCTGATCATCTATTTGATTTTTTTTTCATTTCATTTTTCATTTCCCAATAATTTGAACCTTCGTGGGACATGGAATAATGACAGTGATAGTAGTTATTCTTGCCTTTTTACCATTTGTAGTGGAAATGGTTTCTACTACTTAACCTTCAAGTTTAGTAGGATTAAGGAAGTTTCCTTCTATTGGTTTACAGGAGACAATTTATAGTGGACATGGATCCTACTACTTCACCCTCAGGTGTATTATAAGATTTAAGGAACCTCTTTTCTGCCCTTAGTTTACAAAGAGTGTTAATAATTGTGATTGAAGATTGAATTTGGTATCTTTTTGACTTGTTAATTTGATGAATCAGATTAATAGGAATCACAATATTGAAACATCTTTCAGTTCATGAGATGAAACCTTTTGTTACTCATGTCTTTTTTTATATCACTAGAATTGATTGATCCATATTTTATTTATGGACTTGCATCTGTGTTTTCAAATTGGATTATAATTCCCCTTTAAGTGCCACATCTATCTTCAAGGTTATGCTGGCTATGTAAATAAGAAGTATCCCTTTCATTTTTAATTCTCTTCAACAGTTTATAATAGTAATCATGATGGCTTTTCAGAACTCACTCACAAACTGGAAAAGATAACCAGAGGGAACTGGTTGAGTTTGTAGTTGTTCCCACAATGGCCTCTGTCCTGTCTGTCCACCCTCTCCCTCCTGAATGGTAAGTCCTAACGAAGCCAACCTAACTAGCCAATCCTATCTGCTTTGCTGCTGAAATTGGTTCTGGTGACCCAGCCTAAGCAAGTAATCCCATGGCATTTTTCTGCAATCTTTGGTGGCAGATTTATACGAATAACACTTAAAATAAAAATCACAGGATGTAAGGATTCTCATCAAGATTGATCATTTCCTGCCTTTAGTTGTGCATCCCCAAACAGATAAGATCATGGATCTTCAAAATAAAAACTCCAAGAGCTCAGTGATAGAGCTCTTGTCTAGCATGTGCCAGGTCAAAAAATAAAAATAAATAAGTAAACAAACAAACTTGCTTCCAGACAAGTAAATAAACTCAGATAATGTATACTGGTAAAGAAAATTACTCTAGGGAATAATTACTTGTGATGCAATTAAACTTCAGCATTTACTCAAGGTCTTACTTGCTCAGGACGGAAGCAATAACATTAGAAGCAGACTTGATAATATTCTTGGATGGTACTTGGAAAGCACTGGAATGCTTGCTGCTAAACGAATGTCCTCTTAATCATGTTGCAACTTAATCAATATTTTAAATACTCAGGACTTTTGCCTCTTTCCTAAGAAGACAAGTTCAGGTGAAAAGTTTAAAACTTGACTTTTCTTGACACTCTTCCCAAACTTTCCACTACTTTGTTTCATCCCATGATTCCTAGTCATGACTTTTTATATCATAACTCTCTCAACAAAGTATTCATATAAGCAGCAGGTCATTTTAGAGGGAATTTATTTAGGACAAAGCATGTTTTTCTAAGGTTGCCTTTCTCTTTGCAGCTTATGAAAACTTATCATCATAATTAGCAGTCACTATTTAATTTTAATTGGTAGTCTACTAGGCAAATTGTTGAAATATGAAATATCCAAATCAGGATGTAACCTGGAAATAAGTCATGTTAACAATATACTATGGTAAAATATTTAAAACAGGTTTATTATCCAGCTATTTTTAGCATTTATCTTAATTATTTAAAGCTTTATTTTTAAGCATTAAGTAATGCTTCCTGCCAACTCCCCTTTGGTTTAAAGGTAATAGGCATTAACTCCTCTTGCAGATGATAACAAAACCTCAAACTTAACTGTCCCCATTCCATATTCACCAGTTTTCCAGTAGCTTCTTAATGTATGTCTTTGAGTCTCCAAGACTTCTTCTAAAATTCACCAACTAGATTCTGCTTTCTGAAAAGCAAGCAAAATCAAATTAAGACAAGGCTACAGTGAAACTTTTATCAAGCATTTGACTTTAGTGCAGTAATTTGTCTGCCTCTAACTTCAAATCAGATAAATGTCAGTTTCTCACAGACAAGTTTAGGAACTGAATAACAGCAGGTGATTTATGTGTGTCGTCTAGAATGCCTGAGGGTTTCCAGTTCCCAGTGACTCTTCACTCTCAAGGTCCTGGATGCTTGAGGTGCCACAGCAGCCCTACCTCTGAGATGTCCTCACCACCATGAATATGTATCCCAGAAGTGGCAGTCTTTGGGACCACAGAGCCTTGTGCAAACTCCCCTCTGCCATCTAATGCCCTATGACCTCTGTTAGCTCACGACTACTGGGAAGCTGTTTCCCTTCTGCAAAATGTGACTGCTAATACCTACCTCTGAGAATTTTATAGAAGATTAAGTAAAATAGTGCATGTGAGATATCCAGCCTGTCGGAGACATGCAATAAACAGTAATGATCATTCCAGCACATTCCCAGATTCTGTGTCACTGAATTTCTTTATATAATTATATTTCCTAATATGTTCTAATGAACTTATGAATGGTGTGATAGTACTAGGGATGGGACCAGGTACTGAGGACAGAGCAGTAAACATAACAGATGCATTTCTGCTCTTTCTGAATTTCACAGGTAATGAGACTCGTTGGTATAAGTTGTTCATCTTCAGTTATTTCAGAAAGAAATATAGTAATCCCTGTGAGTCCCCCAAATCACAAGGTATATTGATTCTCTTAGAGAATCAAAGTCTGGATTTACTAAATGCTAAATGAAGTAAGGCATTAATCGATTAACTAAACTAATCCTCACTATTATCCTCTGATGTATGCACTATTATGATTGCCTTTTTACCCATGAGGAAACCAAGGTACAAAGGGTTAAGCAATTTGCTTACATTACAACAAATAAGTATCAGAGCTTGAATTTCGGCTCTTAGCCTCCACTCCACAGCACTTCATGTGAGCAGAGTGAAACTCAGAGGCTGCTTCCTCTTCTTGGCCTCCAGAACATGGAGCGCAGGGAAGGCATGTCATGCCAGATGTTGTGGATGCACTTTGAACAAAATATCCATAGGCTCCTGAAGGAAGAGGACTGGGGAAAATAATCACTCTCGATGGATTCTAGATCTGAACTTTTTCAAGACAGTAGAGATGAGCAACGAATCACCATTATACCTCCTGGGAAGGGTTCAATATGCAAAGAGGAATCACTCAGGGATGCCAGTTTGTCCCCTAACCTTGTATTTCCTTCCTTGAGAGAGGGATTTTTATTAACAAAGAGTGACTCAAAACAGTGCTTAAACAACAAGCCATATCTCCAGCCTTTTTAATATTTTATTAGAGACAGGATCTCTCTGAGTTGCTTAGGGCCTCACTAAGTTGCTGAGGCTGGGTTTGAACCTGCAATCTTCCTGCCTTTGCATCCCGAGTCACTGGGATTATAGGCATGTGCTACCGTGCCAGACTGAGTACTTCTTTATAGATAACATTATAAAAAAGAGGGAGTAGGTCTTTCCTTGCTGTAGGCTCAATACATAAATTATTGCCCTGCTGCTGAGGAGGTGGAGGTGGTTTAGAGTAGAGGACCATACAAAAATGGTACATAGGATCTTTAACCAAGAATTCTAGCAACAGCCCAAAGAAAAATGACTATTTGGAGACTTCCACAGCTCACACCTTGGGCTATGCAATGTCCCTGACTGTGACTGCCATACTTATGGACACTTCCACACCAAGGGCATGCATTCTAAATGCATTCTAAATCACAAATGACTACATTAGGGTTAAACACCAAGCTCCACAAAGCTTTTTAGGATGATCACCTATTCTTCTGGGACTCTGGTGAGAAGATTCTATCAAGAAGACAGCCCCCCACAGAGCAGTTATTGACAGGTCCCCACTGAGTCCCCTTCCTTAGGGAGTTTGTGTATGACACCTATGTAGGGAATCAGCACCAGAGTAAGCAAAGCAAAAGTGGAGACACACACAGAGAAACCACACATAGAATTTAGCTATTAGCTAAAGAGACAGATGATGGCTGAGTCACCCTTACCGTGGAGCACCCAAGTAACTCCAAAATGGGGTTTGCAAGGTGATCCATTGTGGGATTAGAAGAAAACAGCAGAACGTCTATCTAAATTTTTTTCTTTATCTTTTGCTTTTTCATTGTTATTATTTGTGTATAATTTATTATCATTTATGTATATTTAAAAATTCATATATATGTGGGAGCATGCTCAAGAATTTTCACCATTGGAACATTTGGAGATGACTGCAAAAGAGTACACAAAGTAGTAGATCCCCACTTTGCAGGGAAAGCCACTAGAGCGAGGTTGCATTTTTTAAATCTTCCAATCAAAGTCAACTGGCCAGCAGAGGGGAGCGGGGGATTCTGTTTGTTTTGGTGTTACTGGGGGATTGAACTCAGGAGCACTCACCCACTGAGTCACATCCCCAGCCCTAGTTTGTATTTTATTTAGAAACAGGTTCTCACTGAGTTGCTTAGCACCTTGCTTTTGCTAAAGCTGTTTTTGAATTCACCATGCTCCTGCCTCATCCTCCCAAGCTGCTGAGATTACAGATGTGCCCCTCCCTCTGTTTTTTAATGTTAAAGACCCACTAGCGGGTCACCTTATTCTGTCTCCACAAATAAGCAAGCCATTTTGGTCTTTTCTTTCACAAGGGTGGCAGTCCTTGGAGTCAGGGGGCTGAGGAAAGATCAGAGACCCAAACCTCAGAGGAAAAACTCCTAAGGCCACAGGGAGAATACGTGAGCTGTCCCTGGACACTGTAGGGAAGGAAGAAATTTGGAATTGAGTCTAGCATTTCATTGACCTGCATTAAGAACTGGGCCTTTTTTGTGCTTCACTCTCTTTTGGTTATAGACCTTGGAGGTGGTTAACTTGAAATTTTAAATTGAACTTCTTGGTAGTTATACAGTGAAGCTCCCTAGGGATCAGTTATCATTAAACATTTAAGAAACGTAAAGAAATTTCAAGGAAAGGTTTCTAAAAGTAATCCAACTTTCATAGATTTTCATTAAATTTCCTACCTACTATAGGAGCTGGAATTTTTTTTTTCCAGCAGAGAAAAAACTGTAATAAAGAAATGACAAGAAATCCAGGGAGAAACAAAAATAGAGGAAATTGCCAAATGCAAATACTGAGAAGATTTTAATGATTTTATTCACTATCATTAAGTAAAATAAAACAATGGCAAATATAAAGCAGCAAATATATTTTTATCTATTACATTACATACTCCATAATAATCATTGATAATAGGATGAATGAGCATGATAGAATAATTCAATGAATGAATAGCCATCCTTTCCATATGAAAGTGTTCCATGTGAAAAATTAGCTGTTTCTACATAAATTATTTTTCTTGCAAAAGGAGAAAATACTGTTTGGTGTTTGGGGGTTGTTATTGTTACTGATTTTATTTTATTTTTATTTTTTTATTTTTTATTTTTGATACCAGAGATTGAACCCAGGGGCACTTAACCATTGAGCCACATCCCTAGCTCTTTTTATTTTATTTTATTTATTTATTTTTGTTTTGAGATAGGATCGTGCTAAGTTGTTCAGGGCCTCACTAAGTTGCTAAGGTTGGCTTTGAACTTGAGATCCTTCAGACTCAGTCTCCCAAGTCACTGGGATTACAGGCATGCTGCACCAAGCCCAGCTAGAAAATATTTTCATAAATATTTTCTGCACAATTCTTTGGCCTCTCCATAGCATCTTTTTGTAAATTCCCTTTGACCCAATTATAATAACACCTTGAAATGTTAAAAAGGACTGGGAACTCTGTTATTTTTATTAGTATTAGTATTTTTATTAGTATCAGTATTTTTATTAGCAAAGGTATTTTTCATGAAACCTTTGCTCCAAAAGACCCATCTGATCTCAAAAGATTTGTCTCAGGTTGCTGCTGAAAACCTCTGAGCTCCGTTTATGTGTCCAACTGCATTCAGTAAGGCTATGTGTTTTAAGCACTGTTCTTGGCCTTTTTGAGAAATGAAAAGTCAAATTAATCATGGTCTCTGGACTGAAGGAGCTTGCTCTCTAGCAGGGAAGATAAAATGTGCACATAAATAATCATAATACAAAACCAAGTACGCTATCGGCTGCAAAAGTGGTATAAATAAAATGTGGAAGGATGTCAGGAAAGGCATGCTCAATTCCAGTGGAGGCATCCAGAGATTTACAGAGAAAGATGCATTTGATCCAGGCATTATAGAATAGGCATGTCTTAGAGAGGCCAAAGAGATTGAGGAGGGAGAGGAACCGGGTGGGGGCAGGGGGCAGGGAAAGTGGATAGAAACCAAAAGAACCCATTTCCAAGACAGCAAATGGAAAAACTTGGGGTCCAGGAAGGTAAAGGTAAGTGACAGGCTAGAGAATGAACACAAAGCCAATGTCACAGCTTTGTCCTCACTGCACTGCATGGTCCCATAACATGTTGGGTAGTTACCTGACCCTCTTCCTAGTGTCGCTTTTTTTTTTTATAGCCACAAATACCCACCATGAAGCTTGGCACATCATTGCCTGTAGGATGAATGAATGCCATGGTGTAGGAAACTTCACTGCGTAGTATGCATGTAAATCTGTCCCAAGATTTTGCCATGGATGGTCATGTCTAAGCATAACAAAGGAGTTGAACAGGACAGTGGTGGAGTACCCCAAGTGGACAGTCACAACCAAGCTGGGTTAGAATCTCCCTCTGCCACTTGTGAGACTCCAGCGAGGTTTTGTACAGGATCACCTGGTGACCTGCATTACCCTCACTTAAAAACTGATCGTCATAATGTCTCTCTCACGGCTGTGACAATTGAATGAGCTAATGGGCCATGCCCTGAGCACATTGCCAAGGACATAGTAAGTACCTCACTTGTGTAGGTTCTGGTAACATTTAACATTAAATGCAACTTGTCAGTGGCACCAGGAAGGCTGCTCAAGATGTCAGCATGACATTGGCTTTATGTTCAAAGCACAGAGGCTGGAGAATAATTCACTGCTTTATTTTACAATCTAAAATCATACCAACATGATTCTCTTTCTGGTGAGTATATTTCTAAATTATTTAAAAAATTGGATGTGAAATGAGGAGAATGTAAAAATACTCAAATATGCAGGGCAATATATAATTACACAACAAATACACTTGTAACCAATATCCAAGTTATAAAATGGAGTATTGGTTGTTCCCCTAAAGTCCCCACTGTGCCTTTTTCTAATGAAAACCCTCTTTCTCTCTACAGGAAACCACTGCCCTGACTCTTACTGTGATTCTGTTCTAGTTCTCTTAGTTTTCTTTACAGTTTTATCATCTAGCAGAAGATTGCTCCTGTTATACAACTTTATTTCAATTAGAAATAAACTGCAGCTGAATGGTTCATGCCTGTAATCCCAGCAGCTCCGGAGGCTGAGGCAGGAGGATCACGAGTTCAAAGCCAGCCTCATCAACCTATTGGGGCCCTAAGCAACTCAGCAAGACCTTCTCTCTAAATAAAATACAAAAAAGTGGGGCGGACCTGGGGATGTTGCTCAGTGGTTATGTGCCTCTGGGTTCAATCCTTAGTACTGAAAAAAAAAAAGAAAGAAAGAAAAAGAAAAATCTGCTTATTTAATCTCTATATTTTTTTTTTCATGGATTTGTTAATCCTCAGTCAGAATGTAACTTTAATTTCTGTGGCTTTTTAATATGTTGCAATGTATCATAAAATAAATCTTTAAAATCTTCCTTTTTCAAACATAACTCGACTCATCTTGAGTGGTTCTTCAAGTTGGATTTTAACACGATTTTTTAAAGTTCTAAAAGATTTTGTTTGGCATTATGGCTGGAACTGCATTAAATTTATAGACTCCTACCATAGGGTACCAGAGCCAGAGTGCCATAAGGAGATGTTTCTATGGAGGTGGAGTGTGGGGTAGGGGATCAGAGCCCAAATAAGATGAACATGGAACTCGTGCAGAGTTGTTTCTTGATTTTGTGGGCTAACACTTGAGTAGGAAATGGTGGCTGTCCACAAAGAGAGGACACCAGAACAGGGGGGAGCAGAGAACATGCCACCACATCTATAACATTCCTGCCAAAGATACATAACCTAAGTTCGACCATGAGGAAACAGCAGAAAAGCCCAAAGTGAAGGACATTCTACAAAACAACTGGTGTGATCTTCAAAAGTGTCAAGGTCTATCAATTGATAGAAAAAGTAAGGAATTTTTAAAGACTGATAGAGATTAAATAGAGTTTATAATTGAAGTCATGCATAATTCTGAACTGGGTATTTTTTATTATAAAGTATTTTTGGGACAGTTGATGAAAGTTGGATATGGATTTTGATGATTAGATGGCAGTAATATATAAATGTTGACTTTCTGATCATAATGGTTGTTTTGCTAATTATATGGCATGTCCTTGTTTATAGAAACTCACACTCAAGTATTACATGATAGAGCAACAGAAACTCAATTTATTATCAAAAATTTAGGAAAAAAAGAAGTCTCTGTATTTCAACTTTCTTATAGCTGTGATTCTTAACACTAATTTTTAAAACAGGAAGCAACTATATGAGAAAAATAAATTCATAGACTAACTTGAGAGAGCAAGCATTTAATGTTTTCAAGATGGAATTTTCCCATTCAGGAACATCTAATGCATCTCTATGTGTTTACATTTTTTAAAAATATTCTTTAGGCAAGCATTGTTCCCCCACTTAAGTCTTGAACATCTCACTCTTAGGCATAAGTAATATTTTTACTATTGCAATTAGGTCTTTTTGCATTTTGGGGTTTTTTTCTGTTGCATTATAATCAATGAACATTTATGTTTGCCTTTTATCTTTAGAACTCAGCTGACTTCTGACCATTTTTAGTTCTATTATATTTTTAGTTGTTTCCCTTGTATTTTCTTATTACTAAATCATACCTTTGAATGATTTTAGCTTTTTTTCTTCATTTTATAAATTTGTACCTTCTTTTATTATTCCCAGCAATTCCAGAATAATGAAGCATATAATCTTAAAAGCTGATGTCCTTGTCTTCATTTGGGTTTTGGGGTCAATAATGTTTTACTGTTAGCTGTAAAATTTACTATTTGCTTTTAATAGATACTCTTTATTACAGTATGAGAATATTCTTTTATTCTTTAGTTTACTAAGAATTATTTTCTGTAAGGATTGAGTATTGAATTTATTCAAATCTTTGAAGCAATTATCAAGATATTTATATAATTTTTCATACTTACTACATTTCAGTAATTAATAATGTAATTGGATTTCCTAAAGCTGATCTATTCATGAATAATTAAATGTGATTTAAGTTTGGAACCAATATAGTGTTGGATTTAATGTGATAATGTTTTACATGGGATTTTGCAATTATATAAATTATATTGGTCCTTATTTCTTCATGTATATTATGTTGTTCTTGTTCATTTTAAATTTTAAGGTACCGTTGACCCCATAAAACTAAGAAGAATTTCCAATTTTTTTGCCTTCTATAATTGCACAGACAATACAGGACTTATCAAACTTTCAATGAATGGAGAGATCTTTTCCCTTAATCATATATGTCTATTGCTTTTTTCTTTATTATTAATAATTTTTGTTTCTTTCCTTGTTATTATGCTATGCCTTGCTATGAGTCAATTTTTATATTCTACATATTTCTAGAAAATCAAATTTGTATTCTAGCTTCTTTTTTCTTGCTGTCTTGTATTGATTATTTCCTTTGATATGTTTTTCTATCAATTTTCAAGTTATGTGCCTAATTTCCATTTTTACTTTGATTATCTTTACATTAGAAATATATTAGAACTTTAATTTCTGTCATTTTCAAAAACAAAATAATGTCTATGTACACTATTTACTCTCTCTTTCCTTCTTAAAGATAAAGGTTAATGTGTTATATCCCTCTTTCTCCAATCCTTTCCTACACTTTACCTAAGTAGCTCCAGATGATGATGATGATGATGATGATGATGATGATGATGATGATGATAAAAATGATGATGATGTTGATTTGGTACTGAGAATTGAACCCAGGGGTGCTTAGCCACTAAGCAACATCCCCAGCCCTTTTTATTTTTTATTTGAGACAGGCTCCTGCTAAGGTGCTTAGGGCCTTGCTAAGTTGCTGAGGCTGGCTTTGAACTTCCTCCTGCCTCAGCCTCCCAAATTGCTGGGATTACAGATGTATGCCACCACACTGGGCTCCAGGTTTTTTTTTCCAGTTTATTTTTTAATGTCATGTACTTTTATTTTAAAATGTTTGTAATTGCTTTATTCTTCACAGTATAAATCATTCTTTAATTTCATCAAGTAATATAGGAATATATTCTACTTGTAAAAATTTAATCATTATAGACAAAAATCTTCTTTTACTACCACCTATAATGCCAATGCTTTCCAAAGAAGCTATTGCTGTTACAAATTTAGTGTATCTTTTCTAGCATATGGTGGTGCATGGCACATCCACCCAAAACATGTGTTATATGTGCCCTATTTAGAATAAATAGTTTAATATAGCACAAATAACTTTGTAACTTTCTTTTTTTAAATGGACCAATATGTCTTGGAGGTTTGGGTTTTGCTGTAAATAAAGATTTACTTCCTTCTTCCAAACTGTTGCATACTGCTGCAGTCTGGCTGGTCACAAAATCACGAGCCATTCACAGCCTTGTAGATTCAAACAGCAATTCTTTATTCCCGAACTCACACCGGCACTCCACACACGTTCTGGGGAAATTCACGTTCTGGGCAAAATCCACACCTCCACTCGGCTCTGTATCCCAAAAATACTCTCTGAATCCCACAAGAACTCAACAGGAACTCAAGGAGTGGGCATGCCTGAGGCAGCAGGAAACGCCCTATTCCCAGCAGGGTACACCTTAAACCTGGAACCGCCCTAATCCAGTAGGATCCTCCCTAAACCCGGATCCATCCTGGTCCTTGAGCAGGGTCACCTTTCTCAAACATACATGCAATGTCACTGCAAATGTCCAAGGCAAGTCCATTTCCACGAGTTCTTCCTCTAAGCAACATGGGGTACGCTGGCAAGGAAATTGTCATACCTACTTGGCTAATGGCTCTCAGCAGCATACCATTGTAAAATAATTATTTTTTAAAAAATATATTTATATGCATTTTAAAATTTGCCTAATTTTCATACAGTAAAAGTTACCCATTTTCTTATAGTTCTTTGAGTTTAACAAATGTACTAAGCTATGAACTTATCACATAATTAATATATGGCACTATTCCATCACTTCAGGAACTTCCCTTAAACTTCCTCCTTATTCCTAACCACTGGCAACCACCCTCAGTAAATTTTAATGTCCTGGTTTAGAAGGGATGTATAGTACAGCAATCTCAGGACAAATCCAACAGCAAAGAGAATGTCTGTTGCCTATGTCTATTGCTCTGCCTATGAGCTTGCTCCTAAGTCCTTCCTGAGCACTCGGTTTCTAGGTTGTGGATGAACAAAATCGCTCTATCAGCTCTTTTTCCTTGGGTTCCCTTTCTGCAACTGAGTAGCATAAAAGAATATTAACAATTGTATTCTTTCTGCTCTTATCTCACCACATTTTTGCTGTAAATTATTCCCTTAACCCGAGTTCCTCATCCAGTGACCACATCACAGGCTTAATTCTTAGCACATATGGTGCCAATTAGTTTCTGTGTTAAGTGCAGAGATGGACAGGATAATGAGAGCACTACAGCCTTCCCTGTGTGTGTGTAGGAATGATCCTGGCTGGGTCCCAATGATTACAGCCTACGGACAACCACTGTATAATATTCCATAATTTATTCGACCATTCCATATTGTCAGACATGTAAGTAATTGCTGTTTTGAAGTTATTCCAGTGTTTTACATATCTTTTTCTGCACTTGTACAGAATCAGGCTTGCCAGAATCAAGCCTCAATTCAAGAAATGGAATATTCTCTATGTTCTCCAAGCATAAAATGATTTAGCATAGATATAAGTTGTTGAAACTACAATGCACCAATAAAAAATGTAAGAAAAAAAAAGAAATAAGCTGTCAATAATGGTGAAATCATTATAAATGTTGGAGGTGTGGAAAACAGGGTACTTTTCTGAACTTTGGCTTCAATATCGACTGCAGTTGAAGTGACCCCAGGACTAGATGATTGCTGCTGCTGTTGCTATCAGAGTTGTGACCACTACCACCTCTCCTCATGGTCCTTGTGAGTGGATAGTGAATCACAAAATTTGGCCACTGTAAATCCCCTCACCCATTAAAGCTTCTTCACTGGTCCTCCTTGTTGCAGAGAGAGGGTGTACTCCTCATTCTACATTCAAAAAAGCTCAAGAAAATTTAACTAATTGGCAGAAATAAATTTATATAGAGAAACCTAGAAGTAAGAGAGTCTAAAAAAATGTCATTTTTAGCTAATATCTCCAAGTGGAAAAAGAGAAAGAGATAGATATATATATAGAGAGAGAGAATGAGAAGTTGAGTCAAA